AAACGAAAGACTCAAGTGAAGAACTTTATTTTGAATTTAATATTTTGTTTAACGAAAAATCACTTTTTTTTTTGTAAAAATGTGAAAATTTTAATAATTTCTCCATATATTGTTATTTTTTTTTAATAATATAAAATGAGTATTATTTGGAAATTAAGACTGCAATTTTGTTTAACATAACATTATAGTAATTAAAGTGAATTTGTTGTGATTTCTTTTGGTATAGAGCAAATAACTTCATTTTGAAGAGGAATTCTTCTGATTTAAAATTACGATTTTATCATTAGATTTTGTAGAAAAGTTGTTCAAAAACAGTGCTGTATGAATCATTTTGAAATTTTATACTCACTGTCATAGTAGATAATGGTTCGCAAGAATATATGTTTGTATATTGAAAACTATTAGATTAATTGCTATGATATGAAGTCAAATTACATGTAAGCCGGAAATCAAAGTATGTTAATTTGTGTATATGTAAAATGTAAAAATTTGGTACGTTGTTGAAAAATAATTAAAATGGATAAGTACCATATCTCCTTTTTTCTTTTATAAAATTTTAATTGGAATCGAATACCAAATGTTTTCATAATATCATAAATTTTTAATATTTTTCATGATAAAATGTCTAATAACATCTAATGTAATACTCCGTCTATTCAATTTATTACGACGTGTACAATACAGAAGAAAGAAGTGTTTCGGACGCTTTAAAATACTTACATCTATTCTTGCTAGCAAGGGAATTTTTGGGTCAATTTAGTCATGTCAAACGCAATCTGCCCTTTTCAACAAATTCATTTAGAATAGATGCATATTTTTATTTTGACTAAGACTAAAACGGAAGTTTTAACTTGTTAATTTTTGTCGAGTTCCTTATTGTTGATGTGAACAACTTTTTTTTTTAAAAATCCAAAATTTTCAAATTTCTTATAAGTTAATCACCTGATTAATCCAACTAACTACATTGTTGACTAGTAAAAATTAAATTTTATTTAGTGAAAATTAATTCATTTATTTTCATAAAGTAATAAATAAATTAAATTGTAATTGCAATACCAAAAATTAAATTTTAATTTTATATGCTTTTATTAGAGAAATAAAATTAATTAATAGATTTAAATTTATTCCGTTCAAGTGATTTCTTTAACATAAAGTAAAATGTATTCACTATTAGTGTACTTATTTCCACTTACTAAATATATAGAAATTTTCTTGAAAAGGACCAATCATACAATCAAAAAGTTCCTCTAATCAACCATTCACTTTAAATTTTTTTAACAACTGTTAATAAAAAGAATCATTAATGTATAATGAAATCAAATTATAAGTGTTGTTAGGTCCAATTAAGTGAAACTAATGGAAGTCGAAAATAGATAATAAACTCAATTTTTTCAGAGTTATACTCTTCTTTGAGCATATTTCAAAAAATAATTTGAGAAAATCTTATTGCGTTCATCAACTTGCGTGTCCGTTCCTTCATCTGCTTGTGAAAGTTTTATTTAGAACTAGAAAGAATCAAACTGGAAAGGTGCAATTATCTAAGCAAATAAATTTTAGTATAGAAAAAATTCTTTGAAAATGAATTTCGTATGTGTTTCCTTTCCTCTTCAAGTTAAAAACTTTTTCTAAAATAATGAAAATGCAAGTGTTTTTGGTAAAGACGCTTTTCAAACTATGGGCAATTTTTAAATTCTGATCTATTTTTTTAATCTATTGAATAGACCCTTTAAATTAATCATTATTTAAAATCGAGTTCTTTTCAGTTTTCTATATATGTACATGTCAGTCTAAAATTGTAACAGTTTGTACATATTTTATTTTATTACAAAATAAGAACATATTTCTACCTCCCTCTCCTCTTGAGTTGTTTTCCCTTTAAAAATTCGAAAAAGTCAAATTGCGGCCCTCGGTTACTTTCACAACCATCGTCCCATTATTTTAAAGAGTAATTATGTTATAACTATAAATAAATTAGCAGTCTATAACTTCATATTAATACCAGTAAAACTTCCTTAAAACTTTTTAATGCTACTCCTAAAAATATGCAATTTTATATTATAACTCGAGGATTTTATTTAAAAGAACATAATTTTTGTCATTAAGAATTAAATTTAAGGTTAAGCACTACATATATAAATCTACTTTTAGACCCAAATTTTTGAAGAAAGGAATGTGCTTTTTTCCAATCCACGAGTTAAATCTCCGCCATTAGTTTTCTTTTTACCTTAAAAGTTTATTCGGAAATAAGCTAAGTTTTTACAAAATAAAATCAAATTTAACTCTTGTTTTATTTTATCAAACTATATGATCACCACTATCGTCATTTTATCATCAATATCATGAATTTTCATAAAAAATACCAAAACAAAGTTAAAATAAGTTGAATGCTCTCTCAAAAAATAAATAGAAATATTCTCTATTATTATAAAAATCATACCTACCATATACACATTTGTGTATACCAGTTAAATTGCAATGAAACCTATATGCAATTTATATGAATTGTTCCAATTTTTGCGTCATTGAATTGTAAAAGTTCAAAAGGTCTTTAGCACAAAAATTGCAATACAGAAAATTTTCAAAATTACTTCAATAAAGAAAAACCGAAAAAGGAAAATCTAATTTTCTAAGGCAATTTTCAACGACTTTTAACGAGATTTTTTTCCTTTTTTTTTACTTTTGATCTTAATCCTCTCTCTATTGTAATTACAATACAAATTTTTCAGCTCCAATTCATGAATTAAATCTGGGATAAATTTCAATTTTCTGTATTTAGTTTTTATTACCGGCCCAAAACATAGCAAAAGTATATTACAAGGAAAGCAAATGCATTTTTTGATTGGTGTAAAATTCAAGTACACAACAATGTAATAAAAATTAAGTTGAAATTTTGTATGTAACGTAAGTTGCATAAAAAAGAAAAAGAAAACAAAATTTTGGTCTGGAAAATTCAAGAAAAACTTTTCATTGCCAATATAAAAATATTTGTTGTTTATTTTGCAGAAATTCTGCAAAGAAAAACAGAATTAAATTAAGTAAACAAAACTCTCTCTAATTTTAATTCTCTGAATTTTCTGAATTCAGCTATACAAAGAGAAATAATGAAGTTCAAAGTGTAAAAATGAAAATATATTAAACATTTTTCACGATAGTAGATGGCTTGAATGTAAAAAATATGGCTAAGAGCGAATTTAGGATAAAAACAAGAAAATTAATAAGAAAACCAGTTGAACTTGTATGAATACGAGTAGTAGATTAAGTTGATTTTTGCTGACAAATTGATTTTGAATATCATGGTTATATGCGGTAAGTATGGCACGGCACGTTTTATTAAAATATTCAGCACATTTTCTTTCTATAAATATTATAGAAGTTACATATAGAATTCTTTTACATATTATTATGTGCATATTTAGCATATTGTATAAAATTAGTTTGAAAAATAACGTCTCTATTAAAAATTATATTGATGTAGTTAAGAATTTAGACTTTAGGAATTTATGTAAATTGAAATAAAATATTGCAGTATTGATGTTAGAAATTTGTTCCAATTGTAATCCAGTATCTATAATTTTAAAATATTTTCAATATTTTTCTGAATTCTGAACAGAATAGAAAAAAGAACATTAGTTTCCAATTTGTATTGTGTTCATACTACTCGAGTGTTAGAAGATGTGTTCTTAAAATTTAGAACCTTTTGAGTTTGACATTGAACCAATTATACTTTTTTTATATTTTGTGATGACGAGAGTATAATAGCAATTAATATTTAAAATGTACTTGAAATTTTTAATTTCTTAAAATGTTGTTTACTTAAAATTTATTGCATACATTTGGAGGATTGCATCAATTTGAGATGTGAGAGGTTCGAAATTCCAAATTATTTTTTATAATTCTTGTCAAATAAAAGAAGGTTGTAGTCGCAGTTTCAAATGTTTTCAGTAAAATTAATTTTCATTTTTCAAAAACTGAATTTTTTAAGGCATTTAGGGATTATAACAGCGGAACTATAGTGAGCTCAATGCTTCAATTTTAATTGAGAGAAAAATTTTTGTTTCGAAGTTATTCGCTTGTCAAATTTTAATATTAAATCTCCCAAATTTTCTTAAATGGCTGGAAAAACAAGCGAATGAACAACGAATTGGAAATTAACATGTAGCTAAAGTGGTACTTGTTTTCATACCATAACACAATTTCACAGTAATTACAATGTACTAAAATCCATTCCACGTAATTTTTAAAGATCTTATAATTGGTACAAATGTAATAAAATTCTTTCCAGTGTACATAAAATTCGAAAATAAGAAGAGAAAAAATAACTACAAAAACCTATACCCGTTGGCATACTAAAAATTATACAAGAACTATAATAATAACAACAATAGCAACAACAACAAAATGTTGTCAGAAATGTTTGCAGCTATACAAGTAAGTACAACATAGTCAACAAAATTGGTAATTCAACATCAACAACAACGCAATAATTTTCAAAATAAAATTTTTCATTCAGTTGTGAATTTTCTTTGGACGTGATTAGAAGTCGAATAGCGGGACAAATATAAAAAAAAATTAAAAAAAAATTTTTTTTTTTTTAATTACACAGAAAGAAATAAATATTTTGATTTTTCTTTTTATATTTATAAATAAATTAATTAAATTTGAGAATTGAAGAATTAAAAAAAAATTTAAGAAATTTTGAAAATAAAAATATTTTCATTCTTAAATTTCAATTAAAATAATTTTCAAAAAAGGAAAATAATAAGAAAATAAGAAAGAAAAAACGAGTGAAAAATTATTTTTAAACTAAAAAATTAAAATTTTACCGTTATGTAAAAAAATCAATACGTTATTTTGTATAACGTAAAATTAAAAAAATTAACGATATGAAATTTTTATAATTAAATTTTGTATTTGTTTGTTTGAAAGGGCCTAATTTTAAAGGATTTCATTTGAATTTGAGAATTTTTTAAAAATTTAAATTTATTAATAATTTTATTTAGAATAAATGAACTTCATAATTATTTTTGGATAAAATTTTAATAATAAAATCTGAAATTCAAAAATAAAATTAAAGTGATTTGATCAAATTATAAGGTAAGTAAAACGCAAATTAATTTAAGAATTTTTAAAAAATTATTAATATTTTAAATAAAAAATTATTTTTTTAATTAAATTTTAATTAAAATTAAAAAATTTTTATACATATACAAAAAAAAAATTGCTTTGTTAATGAAAAATATTGAAAATATTTCAAAATTTTAAATTTTAAGTCTTAAATGATGTGATGTCATTCTAACTCTAATTATTTTCATCTTATTACCAATATGGTACAGATCCTCTGAGGTTTGTAATTTTCAGGAATTTAAATTATGTTCAACTCTGGTTTATAAAAGACTGGTATTGAAACTAAATTTTTCCCTTGTTTTGGCTACGTTTTTTCTTCTTTTTTCGTAAAACTTAATACAACAAATTAGTTTGAGTCTTTGAAATTAATAAACTCTTAAATGAAGACGCGATTTTGCTAGTCGATTTTTATAGTCACATATTGTCATAGCCGTCTCAATGACGATTATTTTGGCTCTTTCGTGCAATATTAATTTGAATAATAATTGATGCTTGGCTTTATCAATGGGTCTGATAAACATAACTCGGAGTCTTAGAACTTTATAAAGGGATTTGAAATAATATTAAATTTGGTATTGAATTAAAAATAATTATGCTTATTACAGAACTAGTAATTCACTTTAATTTCAAGTTTGGAGGTCGTTTTTGTAAGTTCTTATAAAAATAACAAAAGAAATCTATTTTGAAACTACTTAATTTTAATTGTTATACGAGTACTGAAAAAATTCTGAGTAAAAGTCTTAATAATTTTTTTTTTAAATCACTTAACAAATTAAGAACTTTGTTTTTACTTGAACTTTTGGACTATAAAAATAAGAACTTTAAATGAATATTTTCGAAATCTTTTAAAAAAAAAAAAACATTAATGTTCAATGTTTTATAAAAATTCCTCAATAAATTTTATTTAATTTTCTTCAAACTTCTTTTGAAATCATTAACCTCAAAAAGATAGTGCTATAAAAATTTAATTATATGAGGAAAAACAAAAACAAAAAGAAATGTAATAAGAACAAAGAGAAAATGTGAAAAGAATAAAAAAAAAAAATACAAGAAGAAACAAAAAAAAGTTTTTTCCACTAAAGCATAATTTTTGTTACATACAACAATTTCATTCCAAGATCACGATTTTAGGACTAGGACTGTATAACTGGAAATTGAAAACAACATCATAAGATTTTTAAAATTACAAAAGTTTTTATCACACATATGGTTCCACCAATTGATTGAAAAATTGAAATCGAACACTAAAATTATACTAAAGTGATTAATGTGTGGTGCACTATAAAATCTAAAATAATTTCATTTCGATAAAATCGTGATTCTAGCATTTAATCTACTTATTTATTTTTTTTTTGTATAATTATGCGATTATAGCTTGATTATTATGATATGTGATTTTTACTAGATTTAGTATATCTAGTCTAGTTTCTATGAGCATTACAATAAAAAGAGCAAGCAAACTTTGGAAAATATTTTGAACTTTTGAAGTATAAGAAAGAGTACATTTGATTTCGTAAGGTTTTTGTTTTTAATTTTAACAGCCTTTAATTATGTTGTTTTGGAAAATTTTAAAAGGAATCTATGAAGGAAACCGATTTTAAATTATTAAGAAATGTTAAGGGGCGTTTATTACATTTAGGTAAATTTAATGTTAAGTTCAAAATTCTTCATAGGTACTTTGTTGTTCTATTTAATATCCGTTTTAATTATTCTAATAAATAAAATAGAAAATTTATTGAATTCCTTGGCTAAAAAATATATGAAGTTTAAAGATTTTTAATGTTTTACTCATCCTCTGCTTTTAAGAAACTGAGAAAATTTTGAATTAATTTAAGATCCATATATAATTAGGCATAAATAGGTGGAAAAATGTAGTAGATTGTTAAAAAAAATATAATATGTAATTAATGAATTGCTATTGAAATTATACTATTTATGCTTATAACTGGGCTAAAATTTCTATTATCCTAGGAAACTAGTTAATATTGTTAATTTTTTCCCATCATTGAAATCCGCGGAAAATCCTTAAATAGCACGATTAAGTCAAAAATCATAATTATTCTATAAACCTATTTTAAAACTTTAAAGCCCCTATAATTCGATCGCAAATTGTCCCTGCCATTTTATGTATATGCTATTAAAGTTTGTAGGAGGATAAAAATATTACTCGCAATAGAAGCGAGAATTCCCAATTCAAAGGTAATTTTCATCAAAATTTTTCTACAAACATAAAATTTGGAGCACTCGAATGTTTGAATCGGCTTCTATTTTTAATATTCAAATCATGAAACGTAGGTGTTAGAATCAATTTTCGTTTAAATCTGCAACCATAATTAAAGTAAAATAAAAATTTTTCCATAAAAAACAAAATATTCCCACATATTTCAATTTTCTTACATAATTTTTGCTCTTATGTGTAAACACAAATTTTCACACATTTATAAAATAATTAATTCATGAAGTCATAAGTAAAATTTGTTGCGCGTTGAACTTTTTTTTTTGTAATTGAATTTTCGCAACAACTTTAATAAATGCGAAATATGAGTTCAAAATTTTCTATGGGAAAATTTTTTTCAGATCAGATTTTGCAAATATCATACTTTATAACCACAGGCTTATAAGAGTATATAAAAGTCTGGGTATAATAATGAGTATGTGACAAATTTCAAAAGCTGACACTAAGAAAATTTTCTCAAAACTTAAGTTTCTCATTTGAAATTCATGTAAGTATGTATGTTACACACCTACAATTATTTATTTACAATTATATTAAAAACATAAACAAAAAAACCGGAAGTTTATTATTTTCCCTTAAAATTTACAAAAAAAGCCTTAAAATTTTTACATAAAAAAATTTTACTCATATCGTATGCCAAATGTGTACGCTGTTGGTGAATTAAAACTCGTCATGTAATATGATACACCAAGTTTCCAATAGTACGTCAAATGAATGCAGGATTTTGAATAAAAAAAATATTTGTACATTCTGATTGTGGCCCTTCTTAATAACCAACTTTAATGACAATTTAATGGGGCACACCATTAAAAGTTGCACAAGTTTTTTTTTTTTATTTTTAATTATTTTTTAGCTCCGCTCATTTTCTTTTATTAATTTTTACAAAAATATTCAAGAACTTTAAAGTGATTTTTGTTTTTTAATTTTTTGCCACCCAAATCAACCGACTAACCTAAATACTAAAAAAGTAAATATAGAAAAAGAATAAATGAAAAAAGAAAAGAAAGTATTTAAAGTTTTGGGTTTTTTTTTTGTTGATTAACCATTTTGGTGACTTTTTTAAAATTCTATAGAATTCTGGTTATTAACAAAGAAGCACAGAAAAAAAGAAATTAAATAAAATGAAAGAATTTTCTGAGAAAGAGAAATTTTTTTAAGTTAAAGTTGCTTAATTAATCCCTGATTATTAAAATTATAGCAATACTTGCATTTATTTAAATAACTGGATTTAGACTTAATAGACAATTTTTAGAAATTTTTGTTCTTTCTTAAACAAGATATGATTTCAATGATTTGATATTCATGGACTTTTAGAAAATGACTGTGTTTTCATTTATGAAAAATTTCTGGTAATCCAGAATTGGGACTAGTAAAATAAAATATACTTTACTATTGTGAATGGAAAATTTTCCACTGAATTCCATGTAGTTTCTCTCTTAAGTTTTTTGATGTTATCTCATACTTTAAATAATTATAATAAGGTAATGTTATGATAAAAGTTTCATCACGTTTTAATAAATTAATAATTTAGTGCTGAATGTAAAATTATTTGAGGAATATTGAAAGGAAAATATTAATAGCAATAATTTTAGACTTACCCTCTTAATGTATTATATTTGCATAATACAATATTTAAAATTATGTTCAGAAATTTAAAACAATATTCAATAATTTCATATATATAGAGTGATTCTGAAAGATATACAACAACATATTCTATTAGTTGGAGGATTGAAAATGGATAAAACATTTGTTCCCGACTGGGTGCCAAATCTCAAAGGTTTACGAGTTCTAGGGATTTTAAGGAATTTTTTACGAAATTTTTACTATCCAAGTTTTTTTGATTATAATTTCCGTTCTGAAAAACATGGGGATTTTAAACAAACAGTTATAGGTATAGCACAAAAACCATAAATATTGTGAGCCAAAAATTTAATTAAAATCAAACAACATGTTGATAAAACTAAAATTAAATTCAATTTAATATTCCTATATCTAAAAATTTTACAAATTTCTCAAAACAAACACCAATTTTTCCTATGAAATTCACCTAGTTCGGAAAAATTTATGTTTTTCTTCTTTCAAATCTATTTCAATTCAATCGCATATTTCAAATTAATTCCTTTACTGGAATTCCTCTTACCAAACCGTATACCAATTTGAGTTTTTGAAAAATTTGTTGAAAATTTATTAATTCTCCTAAATTATTTATTAATTAATTATTTTTTAATAATGTTAATTCCATATCATTTCCATACTCCATTTTCTTAAAAAAAATTAAATTTTTCTATTAAAAAACAATTTTTTCTAATAAAATAAATGTCAAAATTTATATGGCATACCTTTGAAAACTCGCTCCAGCTGGATAATTTTAATATCTTCAGATGCGAAATGGTGTCTAGATTTCGAAAATATTTTTTTTAAATTTTTAAATTGCACCCAATCTGAGAAAAACGCATTTAAAAATTTCAAACCATATAGGTACCATTTCTTATAAAAATTGGCAAAAATAAAAAACCTATCAATTTTCCTTACCAAGAAAAGTTTCGAAAAAAATTTTTTGATTACTAGATTTTTTTTTTTGTTTTTCGTCATACAAAATTCTAGTTTTTCTTTTCAAAAATTTAAAGTTTTTTAAATTCAATTTTTGTTGTTCAATTAAAAAGTTTGTATAAAATTTCGTTTCAATTTTGTTATTGTTGGTTACGTTTCAATAAAAACAATAAAATTCAGA